AGTCGAATTCGAATAGTGCACTACTCGAACTCGACTTTAATTAAAAAATTTAGACTCGAGCTCGAGTTTGAACTCATTGAATTCTTGAAAGTCAAGTTCGATTTTATTTTGCATTACTAGAGATCATGCTTATAAGTCTAATCTAGTTTATTTCGAAATCAATCAAGCTTAATCGAGTCTAATCAAATTTATTAATTTCAAACTCGACTCAACAAGTAGCTCAAGCTGCTGGAACTTGAGCTCGAACTCGATCAATACGAGTTCAAACTCGATATTTGATCGAGCAAGCTCGTGAGCTATTCTGTTAAACTCGACTTATTTGCTGCCCTAGTATCTTCGACATGTCCAATTACAAAATACATCGAAGTATTGGCATTTTTACAGGTAAAAATCCATATAAAAACTTTTTAGTGTTAGAGAATATAAAGATTACAGCCATTAAGACACATCACTCTTGAGAGGAGAGCCCTACCGGCAATAAACATTACTGCTTGATGCATTATACATGGTGGAGGCATTATCATCTTCACATGGATCAAAGTTCAATAATTAGGGTCTCGCATGCACCTTAATACACAAATTATAGTACAATTTTTGCCCGTTACGAGTGCTTCGTGATGATGCTCAAACTGGTGGTCCAGTCTATGAAATGTTGCAAGTTAAATGCATACAGATCCTAAATAATGAATCTTTTCCTGAATATTCATATATTCAATTCGGACATTCTTCCCCCATACATTTCAAAGCAGCTTCATGGCCAAGTAATCTAATAAAATAACAGCATCATACACAATCAGACATACTCAGATACATGTCTCTATTAGTATGCCCCATATGCTTTGGGTTGCATAGAAATCTGTTTTCAGGGAAACGTTTTTTGCACTTCTATTTTTGTTAATCACACTTTCACTGTCATCTTGATATAATCTTGATAGTACAGTTTTCATTTATTAGATTATATGATAAAAACGAATGATGGAAGCACACATAACAAAAAATGGACTGTAAATAATATTTTTCTTTTTTGTTTTTTGTTTTTATCCTCGTTCTCTTGTACTAATTATTTTATTTGTCATAATGATAAGGAAATGACAATACCAAAGACACATATACGCTGGTACACTACTTACATTATGCCTAAATACGACATATTTGTGAATAAGATAAAAACTGCAGCATATGCAAATCTATATGTACAGATACACGTAGTATCTGTATTTTTGGCTCCATAATATACAAACAAATCTTGATGGTAAGAATATATATTCAAGAAGATCCCAACAAATCTTAGCCCCATTCAATAATATACAAACACATCTTGATGGTAAGAATATGTGTTTAAGAAGATCCCAACAAATCTTAGCCCCCTTTCCTAAAATCTGGATTCTGGAGACAGGCATTATGGTCATCCAAATCTTATTCACCTTTGTCACTAGACTAAAAGTCTATTGGCTTTGTTTGGATTGTTTCTTTTTCCTTAAAAAAAAAAAGAGAAAATTTGTTACATTATAAACACGTCTTTTTGATCTTATATACATCACATCTCAGAAATGTGTTACGGTAATGTGTTAGGGTGTTATGTTATTCGCTTGTAATGTTGTAATTTAGATAATGATTGGATAAACTATTTAATCAAGAAAGGTTACTATTGCGGCATAGGACTTTCTTTTCGCCTTTGACCCACACCATTACAGTTGCAGAAGAAAAACATTCACGTACTTGTGGAATATTTAATGTAAAGATTGTTGTTACTTGAGTTTGATGAAAAATGTTTCTTAAGTCTTAGTTAAGATGTGTAAGAGAGAAGTGATGATCACGCGCAGGAATTGCAGGTGCGTAATGAGGCAGCTGCCCCAGATGTTCCCTCCTTTCTATCTCCTCAGATGTCCTAAAAGTGGCTCAATCAAAGTGCTCTTCCTCCTCCCTTCTCTACTCATTTTCAAACAGTTTCTTTTGCTTCAGCAGTTTCCCACTAGTCCTTTTCTGTTTTCTGTCTTCTGTCTTTCCTTATTTTTATTCTCAACTTCTTGTCTGCAGCCATTGTTCCCGTCCTAGAAAGCGAAAACAGAAAGGAAAAGCTGCAGCAGGAGCTAGGAAGCTAATACTATCTAGCTGAGGAAGATTTAGCTAGCTGCACCATACATACCATCGAGAGAAAAGCTAGCTAGCTAGCTAGAGAGATGAGCCGTCTTGCACCGTTATCAGAAGAACCTGTAAATGAAGAAGACTCCAAGAACTGCTCTAGTAAAGCCCAGACGTGGAGAAAATGGTTGAGAGACCACTTTTCTCTGCAGCTTTTCAACAGGAAATCAGACCTCAGACTCCTCTTAAGTGTTCTTGGATGCCCTCTTTTTCCCCTGGCTGTTCATCCCAAACACCCCATCACTGAAGTGAGTTTCTCTTTTCCTTTCTTAATCACCCTCTGAAATTTTTGTCCCTTTGCGTTCTGTTCCATTGCTACATGATCATGATGCCATCGAACCCGGGTGCTTAGAGTTTTCATTTTCCATTTAGCTTTACTTCTTCTTGCTGCACGTAACGATGGAGTTTTAATTAACCATCATGTAATAGTTTAATGTCCTAATGTTTGTGCATATCGTTTGTATTTTATTTGTTTGGCCACAACGTTAGTACTACATAATTTAAAGAGCTTGATGACTAAAATTACGCAAGTAGTTTATGTAAATGTCGGTCTTATGTTGTTGTTTTTCTTTAACTTAATTAGTCAATTGTTTATCCTTTGTTCCTCTTCATAATTGATGGCAATCCAGTGTTTACATAACATGGAAGTCACCATGTGAACGTTTGACCTTTGTTGTACTGACTACCCATCCAAACTGTTGTTAACAGCCATTTACAGATCAGTAGACTCCCACTCCCCATCATTATTTTTATCAAACAAAAATTAAGTGGATTTCTTTATTTTTTTCTTAAAGAGGCATAGCACATGGTATAAATCAGAAAGATGCCATTTTAAGGCTGTGGAAGGGATTGCCATGAGTTCATTTGCTGATTATTAATTTATATATGGCTGTCTGATTCAAGTGGCTAGAGAGACATTTATTCCTCCCTCGTTCAAGAACGAAACTTAAATGCCTTCTCAAAATGTTTTTGTTAGGTGTCCTCATCAGCCCAATACATAATCCATCATTTTACGGCAGCAACCGGCTGCCGAAAGCTAGAAGGGATGGTGAAGAATATTTATGCCACGGGAAAAGTTGCAATGGCAATGGTGGACCATGATCAGCTAGGAGGGGGCTTGGCTGCCTCTGCCTCAGCTGCAAATGTATCCAATGCTGCTTTACAAAAAGGTTGCTTTGTTATGTGGCAAATGCTGCCTAATAAGTGGCTAATTGAGCTAGCTGTTGCGGGTCACAAAGTTGTAGCTGGTAGCGATGGCCATTTGGCCTGGCGCCACACCCCTTGGCTAGGTGTCCACGCTGCTAAGGGTGGCGCCCGTCCTCTTCGCCGATCTTTCCAGGCAAGAAATGCCCCCTCACCCTGAATTCTTTGCATTAATGAAAAGGACTGATCAGTTATTCGTTTTTATCATCTTTGATCTTTGCCTTTCCTATTCTTTGTCCTGTGTATTTCATCTGTACTAAGATTATGGATATTTCTCCAATGTCACTTGGTAGCTAGAGGTTCCATGTTGCCTTGTCCCCCAGTTTGCTATTTTTGCTAACGTAACACCATCTAAAGCACTTACTTTGATGTGGAATATTCCCTTCTTATTAGTGGAAGGCATGGGAGCCCAACATCAGCATGGGTTTTTGCTTTGCCTTTATGTGACTTTTTAGTACATGTTCTTGATCCTTCGTGTAAGTAGTCACACTCGCACTTTTGGATAATATATACAACTAGTAGATAATGAACTCCATTTCTAATCCTGAGATAATTACTATCCCAAGCCCAGAAAAAATATTTGCTGTTCAGAAAAAAGTGGAAATTCTTCAATCTCCTAACAGTTTCAATTGCCAAGAGTCAGAATACTCAGGCTGGAATTAAGCTCTTTGTGTCTGTGATACAATATGGGTGGTTTTTTCATGTGAAAAATAAGAATTAACATCAACTGGCTATTCAGGGACTAGACCCTGTGGCTATATCTACCATCTTCTCGCAAGCGGAGTACATGGGAGAAAAGCAAATATTTGGAGTTGATTGCTTTGTGCTAAAACTGTCTGCCAACCATACGGACCTAGTCGAGCGCAGCGATAACACAGCAGAGATGATCAAGCATGCAGTCTTTGGTTACTTCAGCCAGAGAAGTGGCTTGCTCATCTATTTAGAGGACTCGTACTTGACCAGAATACAGTCACCTGGCTCACTCCCCTCGTATTGGGAAACCACAATGGCTACCAAAATGGAAGATTATCGGAGCGTCGAGGGAGTTAAGATTGCGCATTCAGGTCAATCTACTGTAATCATCACAAGGTTTGGAGACAATCTGAAGTTTGGCCCTTCCTTCACGAGAATGGAAGAAACATGGACGATTGATGATATTGCTTTCAATGTCCCCGGCCTTTCTATGGACTGCTTCATTTCTCCAAAAGAACTGCAGAAAGACTATCCAGAGGAAAACCTTGACTGGATATCACCATTGCATCAATGAAGACTGTCGATGGACGAGATTGAAGATCATTTTTTGTAACTTCGATTGTGGTGCTTAATTAACTGATTTTTCCTTGAATGCTAGTGTTTTAACATTATTGACCAAGAATACTATGAGGATCAGAAGCCGAGGCCGACCCTCTCTTTTGTGTATACAAATGATTGTACTCAATTAAGTGCTTGATATATGTGTAAGTCTACTTTTTCCCATTACCTTGTCCTCCTGATCTTTATGGTAATTTTTTTTTCAAGAAAATTTTAGATTTTCTCTTGGGGGGAATAATTTCACTGCTGACAACCGTTCATGCATTATCAGGACAACAAAGTCTTGCATAAATCTTCAAAAAAAACTAGTAGTATTCCCTCTATGAATTCAATTATAAGCCCCTTTAATAAATCTTGAAATTGAACTCCAATTCATAGTATGAAGGAATTGCATAATTGGTCACAGTTCATGACTCCCACTTCGGCTAGCCTAGAACTTGGATCGAATCACTTCCACAGTGCTCTCGTCAATCTGGAATGATTTGGCCAGAGCGTCAGAAGGGATGGCTGGGTTTGATCCGAAGACGGTGCTTGGAACAGATACCAGACCAGGATTTTGGCCGTTGAGTGCAACAATGGCGACAGCATTTCCATAGCCGACATTTCGCTGGTAGTGGACAAGTCCCACAGGAAAGACGAAGGCGTCGCCCTTTCGAAGGACCTTGACGAAAAGCTTGTTATCAGGAGCTGAAGTTATGAAGCCGACTTCGAGAGCTCCGTCAAGAACAGTGATCATTTCAGTGGCTCTGGGGTGAACGTGAGGGGCGTTCACCCCCCATGGCGCAAAATCAAAGCGTAGCATGGAGATGCCCAGGGTGTTCAGCCCTGGCAGCTCAGCAGCAAATACTTGGGTAGCGCTGAAGCCTGCAGGATTTGTGGTGTTGCCGGCGAGGTGCAAACCAGCGAACACGAAATCGTTTACGGTAACGCTGCTGGCTTCCTTGCAAGTCTTGCCATTCACATCCACTGCAAGTGTTGTAGAAAGTTACGTAAAAGTCAGGTCAGTCGAACTGAATATATCAATTAACGCTAGCGCTGAAAGACGAACTAAGCTACTCGATACTCGAGTCGAACTCGGTTTGATAAAAGCTGGTTTACACCCCTAATTAACGCTGCGCCTGGCTATTATAAGATGGAAAAGGTGTTAAAACCTCAAAGGGAAGTATTATGTGTAATTAAACTGCTACTTAATTCCTGGATCAAATGTGCCAATGCGTGGAGGATCATATTTATATGAAGTGTAATATTGTAGGTACCTGGGCTAGTGGCTTTCGCGACGCAAAAATCTTGCAGTGGTTGCTCATCAAATGCCGAAGCAAGGAGGGAGAAACTGAGAGCCATCAGAGTGATGAAAACGATGCAGGTTTTCGCCATTGCAAACAGGCTTGAAAATTTAATCAAATTGGAGGAAAATTGTGCTGCTTTGAGAGCTAGTCAGGGAAGAAGTGTTTTTGAGTCATGCTTAAGCATAGCCACTTTACTGCCTATTTATAGCAATTATTGATCTTGAACCAATCTTGATGAATATCCACCAATTAATCAAGCAGAGCGGCAGGCTCTTGCCAGAAAGTTTCCATTCAATCACAAATTGATTTGGAGCTTTCCATGACCAAATCAACACAATCTCTTTCAAAACTAGTCGTATATACAATGAAAGATTGTCTTTTGAGGAACTGGTTTGCCGTCCACTTTCACAGGTAAACATGACAAGTTCAGCATATAGCTGCAGTCTGGATTATTTTCAGTTTTGGCCTTGGACAGAGGAAACTCGCCAAGTGCAAATACTACAAAATAACTAGACACCGATGACAAATTTCAAGCAGTGTTAACTAAGCTGTTAAATTAAAACTACCAGCGTTTGGACCGATGGCCACCATCAAGCCATTAAGGCTTGTTGGCCTCCCACCAATTGCCACAGTATGTGGCTCTTCACAAATCCAAACGGATGTGTAGTGCATCCGTCTGATTCGATAGTGGTTTAGTTCCCGTCGGCCTCCTATAGGTCCTGTTGGGTCATCCCCTAGAATAGGTTAGAGTAGGAGTAGATGTAGAGTACACTATTATCGACTGTTTAAAAAAAGAAAAAAAAAAGACGAAACTGTTAAATTAAGATCTAAAAAGACTAGGCTGGTTATAAATGCATCACTAAAGATTTACTATGAAAAGCTCATTAGCTGAAACATTAATTAACAAGATTTTGATCCTTAGATGGGATATCCCTTTTCCTCAAAGTTGCAATTGGTGAAGTATACATGTTGACGTGCAAACTAGAAAGAAAATGAAATCCAGTTGATTAACTTGTCCTCCGGCCAAAAACAAACAAACAAACATATAACTGTCTATGGGTAGTGGCTTGATGACTAAAACTAGACAGTTGTGTTGAATTGTCTGCGTATAATTGGCTACTTCTTACCATAGAATCCCTAAAGGTTCCAAATAGAAGATCTCTCACTTAAAAAAAAAAAAAATCACTGCCCAAAAAAGAGTGCCAACACCTAGTCCACTTATAACTTGACATTATAGGAAAGGAAATAAGTTAAAAACAGAAGGCCATGATTTGGTTTTGTGAACTTAATTTTGGTGAAATAGTTTTTTTACAAATAAAAATTTTGAATCATCATAAATTAGTTTCAATAGTAAATAATTTAATTTTGTCACATAACAAAAAACATAGGGTATGCCATCATTTTTTTTTTGTCAAGAATTTATGCAAGTAACACTTAAATTAACCCCACGTAGGAATACCAAAAGACGTCAACTTTTGATACCCCCATGGAACTTAAATACTACATACACACACCCTCCACAAATGATGTGGGATAGGGTATGCCATCATAACTAGTACGATTTTGTGTATACAACAAACCTAATCGTAATTAAGCTAGCCAATGTTCAAAAACATATAGTTGTACGCATTTACCAAACTCGCATGCTAAATAGGATTTAAACAAATTCAAGTGCGCTTGTCTGGTTTGGTGGTTCACCTTTCAACCTCCATACAAGCACCTTTGAGCTTCACTCCTCTATAGTAGAGGTTACTTTAGAAGTAGAGTAGATTGTTGCCGTTGTAAAACAACAAATTCGAGTGGAAACTTTTGAAAATTTTAAAAATCAAATTTTATGTATATTTCATATATCTAGACATTATGAGTCGAATGCATAAAAGATTTACTTGATTTATTGGTCAAAATTTCGAAGGATTTAGAATTTTAGAGCCAGAGACCCAAACTCAATTGGGTCAAATGAGTGGCTACCGACATAGAGAGTGGCCCATCAATCCGGCCCTAAAGGAATTCGTCAAATGCGTCCCAGAAGGAATTCGTCACTGAATCGGATTTTACCGCCAAAAAATGTTGCGGGGAGGTAGCCGTTGGGCTTCCCGCTTCAAAATCTTCCTCCCCCGTCTGAAAAACGACTGCAAAACACCGCCATTTCTCCTCACCTTCTCCTCTTCCTTCACAACCACCACTCCCACCGCCGGAACCGGTGCTGCTGACAACGACAGTTCGCAGCCGGGTCGTCCTTCTGCACCCCCTCCTATTCAAGTCGGATTCACCGACTCTGCCGGCAGAGGCGTGTTTGCCACTCGAAGAATCGCTGCCGGTGAGCTCATTCACACCGCCAAGCCCATTGTTTGTCATCCTTCTCTGTCTTCTCTCCACAGCGTCTGCTATTTCTGCCTTAGAAAGCTTCTCCCCGATCAACGACCCCTTTTCCAAAGTAACGATGTCCAGTTTTGCAGCCAAGAGTGCCAAAACCAATCGCAGGTGGGCTGTTGCTGTAGTAATACGATTTTAACACGTAATTCCATTGCTTCAATTTGACTTTGAATGTGCACGCATGTTTTGATTATGGGTTTTTTTGTGACCGTTTGATATGATGAGCCGCAACTTTAGCAGAAGCGTTTTGGCAAATGGACTGTTCACTAGGTGTTTGATATTTTGTTCCCGACGAAATGGGTCATCTTCTGATGCGTGATATATTTAGAGGGAAATTCGGATTAATGTCAGAGAAAGGGGTCATATTTGATCTTTGCCTTTTCTCTTCCTCTTTAATTCATATGACGTCTTCGCCTTACACCTCATAAATGAAGTAATTAATCAATTCACAGAGTTAACTTTTAAAGAAAAAGAAGAGAGCTGCATGACTTGGAGAAGTGACTAGTTGATGGGCCAAGTTGACAGCATCTTATTAAGTCTTTCTCGATTTTAGCTGCATGATCCAGATATGTGTGCATTGATATATTACTGATGCTCAGTTTTTGCTGACTTGTTTTTTACTTGTATTAGCAGACTTAGTTCCAAGCTAAGCTTAAGATGTATCTTATGCATGCTCTTACGATTTTATCTAAATTTTTTAGCTCAATTCTTTTTCATCTTCGACCTTGAGTTTGTTGACTTACATTTTCCATTTTTAAACATCTTTCTTTTAGGTTTTTCACGAGATTGAGAGGAGAGCAGATTGGTCAACCTTTAATGATTATTGCTGGTATGAATTTTGTAATTACACCTTTTTTCGTCTGTATTCTGGACCTAGACTTTCATGAGTCAAGTGTGACCTCTTTTTTTATTTTTTCAAAATTTTTAGTCCACTTTTTTGTTGATACTAGCACTTGTCAGACTGTAGCATTGAAAATTTTGTCATATTGTATGATGCCTTTATGTGACAAGGATAAACAAACATCTTCAGAAGTTAAAAATTTGCTTCCTGGTACCATGATTTCTACCTTTTGGCTTCATTTGGCCACTTTAACAATCACATGCTTTTTCATTAGGCACATATGCACTAAAGAGTCACCGTATGTGTGTATTGTGTTTTCTTCTGAAAAGGCTATTAGTCTGTTCTGCAATCAGAAAGCTTGTTTAAATGGCCTGAGCTTAATGTATCTCATTCTGTTTGTTTGTCTTTTCTTCAAGGATGCATGGTCTTAAATATCCTTTGCTAGTGAAGCGGTTTGCTTGCCTTGTTATATCTGGATCTTCATCTGCAAGTAGTCTTGACATTCTTCAGCCAGCTAGTTTATCTTCTGAAATGATTTCTCTGGTAACCTTATCTTGCACTTCTTCAAATTCCTTCTGCATTTTCTGCTACTTAATATAAAGGTCTACTCCAGCATTAAGATGTTCAATGATTACAGGTTGACTAAGAATCTATCTGTTCCAGTCTTAATGCCTTTGCAAAATAACTTTAACTGCTTATTCATCAAAGTCTCTTGGGGATGCTGATCATTGGAAACCTAAACTCCAAGTGTAAAGATTACATAGTGGGATTGTATCTTTTCAAATAAGTGTACCGCATTGTCCTTCCTAGAAATCTCCTTTAAGTTAAAAAAAAAATATCTGGCTGGAATTTGGAAGTAATAAATTAAACTCTGCTGCCACGTGTTTACAGGTGGAAAAGGAATTCTGCTTGCTTAGAAACACTTTCCAAGATGCAGATATAAACACTCAGCAGCTGGCTTGTATCCTTCTGTGGCAGAAAAGAGCTAATGTTTTCTGGCAGGGCTTGTGTTTATTGATGCTTCGCTATTCTTTTTCTTACTTGAAATGTAGTGTCCCGCATCCTTTGGTCCAAAAGGCCATATATCTTTGACTTTATAGTTCTGACCAAACAATGGTATACTGGTGTATTGGCACGTATACGCATCAATGCTTTTAGAGTTGAATTGGCCTGTGAATCATATGAAGATCTTCTTTCTTCAGCAGCAGCTTCAGTGGAAGCAGAAGGAGCTGTAGGCAATGCCATTTATATGCTTCCATCCTTTTATAATCATGACTGTGGTGAGATCTCTTTCTTCTTCAATTAACTTCTTACCTTTTCCAAATCTCAAAGAAATGTTTTCTTGACCTCTCTGTTCGGCTTAGCAATGAAAGTCTCCCAAATTTTAGCAGAATTTGGTGCAACTCTAAAAGGTTTTTTATGGTTCTCTTGAATTCTGTTTCCAAAGCATTTCAGATCAATCTCCTGTGATAGTCATGCAGTCGGTCTCATGCAGTCTAAATCAAGCACCTAAGACATTCAATATTAAGCTCAAATTTTTTGATTTTAATCAGTCCCATTTCCAAAGAACTTCATGGTTATTGTCATGTGATCATTGTACCTGCACATCTAAATGCAGAACAGTAATCACTTTCTATGTTGGCTCAATTTCTCGAAATGGGGTCGCGACTCGCTGGTTTCATTTTGCACGAAAAAGTATTGGTTATTCAAGATATATGCATTTTGTTTGCAATTCTTTTCTGGCCAAAAAAAGAGGGTAGCCTTGATAATATGTGAGCGTGCTCCTTTCTGACCTGGCAGGTTTGTGTTTTTTCACACGTGAAAATTAGCCTCTTTGTTCATTTACGAATAAAGTTTAACTGCACAAAACCCTCATCCCCATAGGGCTTGAGTTTATTGGAAGAGTATTTTATACCTGACTCTTTGACTTTTTTTTGCTGAAATTTTATGACCAGTTGGATTTGTAATCTGTTGGTTGGTAATGATAACTTATGGAGCATTTCTAATAGCAATCTGGGGACAATGACATATAACACAGACAAAATTATGTCAAGTGAATGGCATTCCCATGTTATCTTCTTGCAATAGGAAGAGGAAAACAACTAATTGTAATTGATTATCAAATGGTTGACT